CGCCTGTGCACACGGAACACTTCCTCTCTGCCCGTCTGTCGCCAAACGCCAGCTGGCCATGGCTCACCTCGCCCTGCTCACCTCACGAGGGAACGTGGGCAGAGACGGGGAGTCGTGTGGGAGTGTTAGATGCGCAGTGTGGTTTGGAAGTGTGCGCCTGACCACTCAGGGCCCAGAGAGGTCACCTGGAGTCACAGATCCTCCTCGTTGTAGCTCAGCCGCCACATGGCCAACGTCACCTGCCACCTGGGCTCTTACGTTCTTAATATTTCTCTTTAGATTGATTTCCTTTGTCTGCTAGCTCTTTGTGTAGACAAACTTATAACCTGCTGGGACGTTGAGACAGTAATGCCACAAACAGCCAAATATCTCTCACCTAGATTCACCAATTGTTAATATTTGTGTCACATTTGCTTTCTCTATTTCTCTCCATATATACATTAAACAGCAACAACATGGGCTCTAGCCAGTTTGGCTCAGTGGATAGAGCGTCGGCCTGTAGACTGAAGGGTCCCGGGTTAGATTCTGGTCAAGGGCATGTACCTTGGTTGCAGGCTCCTCCCCGACCCAGGCCCTGGTTGAGGCGCCTGCAGGAGGCAACCAATTGACGTGTTTCTCTTACATAGGCACCCTGTTTCCCCGAAAATAAGACAGTGTTTATATTAATTTTTTCTCCCAAAGTTGTGCTAGGTCTTATTTTCAGGGGATTTTTTTTTTAATATATTTATTGATTTTGTACAGAGAGGAAGGGAGAGAGATAGAGAGTTAGAAACATTGATGAGAGAGAGTCATCAATCAGCTGCCTCTTGCACATCCCCTACTGGGGATATGCCCACAACCAAGGTACATGCCCTTGACCAGAATCGAACCCAGGACCCTTCAGTCTACAAGCCGACGCTCTATCCATTGAGCCAAACCGGTTTCGGCAGGATGTCTTATCTTTCCATGCGTTAGGTCTTATTTTCGGAGGATGTCTTATTTTTGGGGGAACACGGTATTTCCCTTTGTCTTTCCCTCTCTCTCACACTTGCTCTAAATATCAATGGAAAAATATCCTCAGGTGAGGATTAAAACAACAACAACAACATGGAATTATTTGTTTTCTAGGTCTGTTAAAATGTTTAAATTTTCACTTTTAGAACCATTTTAGATTTTTAAAAAAATATATTTTTATTAATTTTTTATAGAGAGGGATAAAGAGTTAAAAACATCGATGAGAGAGAAACATCCATCAGCTGCCTCTTGCACACCCCCTACTGGGGATGTGCCTGCAACCAAGGTACATGCCCTTGATTGGAATCAAACCTAGGACCTTTCAGTCCGCAGGCCGACACTCTATCTACTGAGCCAAACCGGTTTGGCAAATCATTTTAGATTTAAATAAAAGTTACAGAGAGTGTACAGAGAATTTTTATGTAACGTGTCTCCAGTTTCTCACTGCCTCCCTTACTGTTGACATCTTACATGTTATGGAGCATTTGTTACAATGAAAGCACCAATATTGATACACTAGAGGCTTATGGGATGGGGCCACAATTGGCTCTCCAGCATCCCCCGAGGGGTCCCAGATTGTGGAAGCGGGCAGGCCAGGCGGAGGGACCCCACCCGTGTGGTGCTCAATTGGGGCCAGCGAGGGGTGTAGGAGGTTGGCCAGCCAGGGAAGGATTGCAGGAGGGCTCTAGGGCATGTCCGGCCCATTTCGCTCAGTCCCGATTGGCTGGACCCCAGCAATAAGCAAACCAATTGGTCAGAGCTTCTTCCCCCTGGTGGTCAGTGAGCATCATAGCAACTGATTGACTGGTCAACTGTCTGCCCCCTGGTGGTCAGTGCACATTAGAGGGAGCAGTTGAGCAGCCTTAGCATATCGTTAGCATATTACTCTTTGATTAGTTGAACGGACAAAGGGACAGACACTAAGCATATTAGGCTTTTATTATACAGGATTATCATGAACTAAACTCCATGTTTTGTTAGTTTTTCCTTACCTGGTAAAGTCACTTTCAAACTTTAAAATTGTAAAGACTGGAATGTGTCCCTGGGAAACCACAATTTTAGCTGGAGGCTGTTGGCCGCTGAGAAAGCCTGAGGCTGGCTTTCTCTTTGTCAAAAGACAGGTTAGGAAATGGTGGAGATGTTCAGGCAGAGGCCAGGTGGAACTGGAAGAGCATTGTCCCAGGTTTAACATGACCTTCCCATTGTATCTGGTGCCCAGTCTGCGTGTCACCAAGTCCTGTTGGGTGCCACCCGGTGTGAGCCTGACAAGTGGCACCATCTGGCTATGTGAGGCCTTCAGATGGCTGGAAACCCCAAGTCCAGGATGACCAACTTCCAAACCTGGGGCTTCCTTCTGCCCCTACTAGGTCAGGGTTAGGGAGAACGTCATTTGTCTTCTACACAGCAACTCCCCCGGATAAAGCCGCCTCTGGACAAGCGAAGCACACAGAGAACGTTCCGGAGAATTCCATCCATGGCGCATGAGAATGCACTCTGTGTAGGATACAAGGTCCGCTGGCCCCTCCTGCCTGTGAGACGTGGTGCTCCCTGCAGCCAGCAAGGGGGAGGAACGTGGCTCCGTTGATACCGTGCTCTCTCAGTAGCCCTTTGTCTGAACTTGTTCAAATGTATTCCTTTATATTTTTTATTGATTTTCCACAGAGAGGAAGAGAAAGGGATAGAGAGCTAGAAACATCGACGAGAGAGAAACATCCATCAGCTGCCTCCTGCACACCCCCTACCGGGGATGTGCCCGCAACCAAGGTACATGCCCTTGACCGGAATCGAACCTGGGACTTTCCAGTCCGCAGACTGACGCTCTATCCACTGAGCCAAACCGGTTTCGGCTCAAATGTATTCCTTTAAAGCGCCTCAGAAAGGGTTTCGTGTTTTATACGTTAGAACAGTGACATGGTTTCCTGGGACGAAGCCATCCCTCTCCAGACCTTTCCTTTCAAGTGTGGATCTGCTGTCGGTGCCAGGAGGCCAGGCCGCTGCGGGAGGACTGGACAGCTCCCTGCTCCGAAGGAATTTCACTCTGATAAGTCACTGTTGGCTCAAGGGGACCCCACATCTAACCCGAGGTGACCCCACTGGAGCGTTTGCAGAAAGTCTGGGTTCGCGCCTGAGGCCGGCTGTTTATTTCCCCGCTGACAGGGTGCAGAGTTCTGAGATGGTCCAAGGAGGCAAATGGTGTGTGTGTGTGTGTGTGTGTGTGTGTGTGTGTGTGTGTGTGGAAATGATGTTTTCTCCTTGTGTGAGGTGCTGTGTCCCCAGAGAAGGAGGTTGGCTGGGATGTAACAGGCAAATCCATTTTCCTTCTTCGAAATGAAGCTATTACAGGTCGGAGCATCGCCCTGAAGCCTTCTGCCGCCCCCTCTCCCAGAGGCAATGACTCAGTTTGGTTTGTATTCTTCCAGACTATTTTCCTGGCTTCCTATGGGTTTCCATAGTGTTTCATTTTATATGTGTGTGTGTGTGTGTGAGGGGGAGGCTCACACCATCAGGATTATAAAATGTTCCATTCTGACCCCCGTGTCCCTCAATAATACATCTTGGAGCCGCATCTCTGTTGTTACACACTGACACCCCTCCACCTTCTTAAGCCAGGGTACCACTCTCCCGCGCTCTGTCCCACAGTCCTTGTTTGATGGATATCTGTGTCCAACCGTTTCCTGGGACAAACCTCTCCGTGTGTGCCTCCCCAGGCACAAGCGCAAGTGATGTCTGGGTGCACCCTCTGCTCACTTTCGGTTTCTAAAGCTCTTGCCCCGTCACCCCTCAGGGTGTGCGGGTGGGGGGAGCAGGGCGGGAGGTGTCAGTTTCTGTTCTGTGGGGCTGTTTGGCCCCGGTTTCTTGTCTGCCGGGCTGCAGGGTGGAAAGGAGCCAAGGCGAGGCCCAGAGAATTGCGTCTCTAGGTGTTAGAGGCCGGGAGGCCCCTCGGCCGGGCCTCCCTCAATGGAGACTTTGTTCCCAGTGGCATCCCTGAGCGGAATCCAAAAGCAAGACGCATGAGGTGACCAGGGCAGCTGGGACCCCACCCCTTGACTCAGAGACACCACTTTTCTGGGAGTCTCACACGCACACATGTAACAGGGGAGGGCGTGTGTGCGGGGAGGGGGGGAAGGAGGAGGGGGGAGGTGGCGCAAACCCTGAAATAATTAGGTTGTAAAAAAGGGGAAAAGGTAATAAAAGAAGCTGACTACTCACTATAAAGATGTAAAGGGGGAAAGCCAAGCCAACTCGCATCCTAGGAGGTGGGGGAGGTGCAGAGGGGGGACGCCGGGGGTTTGGGGGAAACCCAGGCCTGGAGGAAGGGGTGAGGGGAGGATCAGATCCCGGGCTGAGGAGGGGACGGGGGACAGATAGGGGAGAAAGGAGGGGAAGGAGAAAGCGGGGGGAGGAGGTGGCGAGGTAAGGAGAGGAAGGGGGTGGGGGGTGGGGGAAGAGGCTGCGTCCCTGTCTGTTTGTGATTAGCACCAGCCCCGCAGGACGGAGTAAACAGAACCGTCGAGGCGTCCCACACCCCCTCCGAGGCAAAGCAGGAATCAGACGCTCCGGGATTCATCGCGCAGAGCTCAGGACACACCACGGGCGCTGCGTGGACCCGGAGCTGCTGCCTTTTCCCAGGCGCCCTGCCGGGAGGGGGTGGCGGGTGGGACGTGAGGGGCCGGGCCCGCCTGCCGGGGCCACAGGGAGTCCCAGTGACACTGACGGCAAATCGGCGGCGCGCAGAGCGGCCGGCATCCGGGGGCGCGGGCCGCTGGGGGCGCCCCGGCGGCTTCCTGGAACCCGGCCCCGCCGCCGCCTGCACCCTGCCTCCGCCAGATAAGAGCCGGCGGCTGCGCTATCGGAGCCGGCAGCGAAGGCCGCGGGACAGCGGGCTCCCGGGAGGAGGAGGCAGAGTCCTGGCCGGGTCCTGCCTGAATGGGACCCGCGGGCTCCAGCCGCCAACCGGGCTCCTCCCAGGAGGACGGTGACCGGGCGCTAACGGTGCAGACCTGCGCATGGTGAGTGCAGAGTGGCTGCTCCAGGTGCGGCTGGGGGGGATGGAAATGGGGGGGAGGGGTCCAGGCCCGGGAGGGAGGGAGGTGTGAGGGGGCAGCAGGTCCTCACCCTCCGGCTGGAGCTCCCGGAGCCGGGGGAGGGAGCCCGCGCTGGAGCTGATGGCATTGCGGGGGTCTCGCTGTGTGACGCCGCCGGGCAAGTTCCTCGCCCTCTCTGGGCCTCCGTTTGTCCATCTCTAAAACGGAGCAGCTGAGCGAGGCGATCTCTAAGGGGGTCTTGCTATGACGGCTGTTTCTTGTGTGTCTGCTTGTGCACCAGGCACTGTGCTAGGCATTTGGAAACTTTAGCTCAGGGAATCCCCACAATCCCCCAGAGAGGAGGTGGTATGTTATTACTATTTATTATTATTATTATTAATTATTATTATTCTCTTCATTGTACGCTGAGCAAGCAGAGGCTCAGAGAGGGGGAATAATTTGCCCAAGGACACGCAGCCGGTCCCTGGCCGAGATGAGAACCAGATTTCGGGTTTTCCCAACTTGACTTTCACTAACTAGTATTCCGAGTTCTGAGCCTGTGATGATCGCCCCAGGAAGCCGGGGTGGAGGAGGAGGGAGCGTTGTCGGGAGGAGGGAGGCAGAGACGTGGACAGAGGAAGAAGTGACCGGCTGAGCAGCCTTAGCTCCCTGGGGGTCTGTCTGGCCCGGGAAGGGGCACTCTGTGCTGGGGAGGGACGGGCAGGGCTCCTGGTGTGAATGAAGTGCGCCCGCCCACCCACCCGGGGTCATTTGCTGTGTTTGCTGCTCTGTGGCCAGGAGAGAAGAGGGTTAATCTTAGGCAGGGGTGGGGAGGGCTGGGTGTGGAAAGAGTGGCATATGTCTCCACTAGGTTTTGTTCCAGTTTTATTTTGCCTTTTCAAAAATGTGTTTCAAATCACTCCGGGCCCCCTCTGCTCCTCCGTAGAAAGGGAATTGTGAAACACAAACAGTGCTTTCCACACGCACACTCCCCCCCCCCCCCCCCCACTTCCCACACTAATACCATCACTGGCGATTTGCATGTGCGGCCCTGCAGCTGGGGCCGGCAGCCGCCAAGAGATAAGAAATGCGCAGCAGGGCCGTGGCAGGTGGGAAGCCCCTCGGGTGGCAGGCATCTGGACGGAGTTGGAGGTCCTGGCACCCAGATGTGGCCTCCTGTTTGCTCTTCCCTGGAAAATTCCACCCCACAGCGGCTCTGCACTGACTCAGACCTCCTGTCCTTTCAGGAACTGGCTCGGCCTTAGGCACTAGCCCAGACCGGGATGGTGGGCCCAGCTCCAGGGGGACTGGCTGGTCCCAGAAGCCCCCTCGGTCCTGGGCAAGCAAGGACCTTGGCACCTATGATGCTGCCTGTGCTCCTGAAGCTATTTCCATCCGGGGTGGCTGTCTGGTGGGAATACTATTGCCATGTGCTGTGGTGCGTCTCTCACCTGTATTGTCAGCGATGGCAGGTTGGCAGCCTGACACTGATGGTGTTGGGAGTGTTTACATTTGGGGAATTGGCAAATGAGTGTGGCACAGGGCTCGATTTGTTGTTCTGTTCATTGTCTAGATTTGAGAAGGTGAGGGAGAAAGAGTTAACCACGCAGATTACACATAAAAGCCTGCTGCCTCTCTAGCTGTCGCACTGTGCATAGCACCAAACATCCAGCAAGTTGCTCGTGTCATTGGAAAAAGGGTTTAAGCTCGACTGCTCTTTGTTGTATCATGGTGGTCTTACTCCTGAAGGTAAAATTAAATATCAATCGACATTCCTGAAGAACTACGGTGGCCCATCCCTTACAGCCCTAGGTTGACTACAGATGCAAGAATAGAGGGGGGGGGGAAATCAATGAAAATGTTTTGTGTGAAACAATGGATGATATGAATTGTACAAAAAGGGGTATTATAAATTTTGTTTTTATTTGTAAATTGTGTGCTACTCATCCTTTATGTCAATACAATGTATAATAACCCTAAGTATATGTATGTATGTGTATGTGTGCATGCATGTGTGTGTATGTGGATATATAGCATGTGCATGCATACACATGTGCGCGCGCACACGCACAGACACACTTTCTCCTGGGGAGCTGTGGTGGCAGAGGGCAGCCACACCAGAGGCCCACAGTAACTCAGAAGCCCTGGGGTGGACCGTCCACAGCCCTCATCCAGAAGGATTCAAACTCCAGGCACTGGGCCTTGGAACCCTTCCCTCAACTTCCTCTTCTCAGCTGAACAGCCAAACTGCTCTCCCTGCCCTGATCTCTGAGATGGAAGTAAGGGCTGGGATGGGTACAGGGCTGGGATGGGAGCGGGGGCTGGGATGGGAGCAGGGCTGGGATGGGTGCAGGGCTGGGATGAGTGCAGGGACTGGAATGGGTGCAGGGCTGGGATGGGTGCAGGGACTGGAATGGGAGCAGGGCTGGGATGGGTGCAGGGCTGGGATGGGAGCAGGGCTGGGATGGGTACGGGGGCTGGGATGGGTGCAGGGCTGGGATGGGTGCAGGGCTGGGATGGGTGTGGGGGCTGGGATGGGTGCAGGACTGGGATGGGTGCAGGGCTGGGATAGGAGCAGGGCTGGGATAGGAGCAGGGCTGGGATGGGTGCAGGGCTGGGATGGGAGCAGGGCTGGGATGGGAGCGGGGGCTGGGATGGGAGCAGGGCTGGGATGGGTGCAGGGCTGGGATGGGTGCGGGGGTTGGTGGGTGGGAGTCATTGTCCTCACTGGTAGCCTCTTTGGTGGCCCCTCAGGGGCAGCTGCCCGCTCATTCCACCCACTGCAGGTCTTGCCCTGCCAGCCTGTATTTTCACGCAGAGGGACCGATTCTCTAACCCAAACGGCATCTTGGCCCAAGCAGAAGGAAGGGCTAAGCCAAAACTATAGGAAAGTTAACACAGCTTTCTATTTTTAGAAACTTTAGGAGCCAGGTGGGCCCTTTCCAGCTCTCCCAAGTCCGCAAGCACGAGAGGAAAATCTCTCTCCTCTCCAAGTCCCGCCTCCCAGCAGCCAGGCCAAGGAGGGGGCCCAGGGAGGGACACGGGCAAAGAGAAGTGTGTTGTGGTGGCAGAGGGCAGCCACAGCAATTTTATTTTAAAAATATATTTGTATTGATTTCAGAGAGGAAGGGAGAGGGCAGGGAGAGAGCGGTGGAAACATCAATGAGGAGAGGAAACCACTGGTTGGCTGCCTCCTGCACACTCCTCAGTGGGGATCAAGCCTGCAACCCGGGCCTGTGTCCTGATCAGGAACTGAACCGTAGGTCAATGCTGAGCCATGCCAGCGAGCCATAGCAACTTCAAAAATAACTAAAAATGGGGTTTATTATCATTTTTATTTTGTGTGGCAGGAAGGGCAGTCCCGAGTTTAAATCTTCACTCCAGGTAATTAAGGGTCAGATGTACCTGTTCTCCCAGACCCGTGGTCAGCAAACCGTGGTTCGAGAGCCACATGTGGCTCTTTGGCCCCTTGAGTGTGGCTCTTCCTCAAAATACCACGGCCTGGGCAAGTCTATTTTGAAGAAGTGGCGTTAGAAGAAGTTTAAAAAATTTGGCTCTCAAAAGAAATTTCAATTGTTGTCCTGTTGATATTTGGCTTAGTTGACTAGTGAGTTTGCCAACCACTGGCCTAAACCACTCATTCACTCCTACTCATTGTTTTCAAAAGCGAGAACATTTCCCCTTCCACTCTGCCTCTTCCTTTTTTCACTTGCCTATGTGTCCTGGGTGTTTTCCCTCTTAGTCCACAAAGACCTAAACCAGTGGTCAGCAAACTGCGGCTCTCGAGCCACATGCGGCTCTTTGGCCCCTGGAGTGCGGCTCTTCCACAAAATACCACGTATGGGTGTGCACGTACAGTGCGATTGGAACTTCGTGGCCCATGCGCAGAAGTCTATTTTCGGCTTCCAAAAGAAATTTCAATCGTTATCCTGTTGATATCTGGCTCTGTTGACTAGTGAGTTTGCCGACCACTGGCCTAAACCATTCCTTTCAGTGCCGGCACGACAGGAGCTCCAGGAGGCTGTAAGAACCACACCCTTTCGATAACCACGTCTCTCCTTGTTACCAGGTCTCCCACTTTCTCGATCCCAAACACATGAGTATAACCTAGCTTAAGGTGACCAGACGTCCCGCTTTTGTCCCGCATCCCACAGCGTTTTAAAAAAGTCCCGATTTTTGGACTTTTTAAAAACACCTCGGGACAAATTGTTAAAAGTCGGGACGTCTGGTCATCTTTTTTTTTTTTTTTTTTTAATATATTTTATTGATTTTGTACAGAGAGGAAGGGAGAGAGATAGAGAGAAACATCGATGAGAGAGAGTCATCGATCAGCTGCCTCTTGCACACCCCCCACTGGGGATATGCCCACAACTAAGGTACATGCCCTTGACCGGAATCGAACCCGGGACCCTTCAGTCCCCAAGCCGACGCTCTATCCATTGAGCCAAACCGGTTTCGGCCATCTGGTCATCTTAAAGCTGCATCCACTCTTCCGTAAAAAGAATCTGACCGGCTCTGCCCGCCTCCTGTCACCACCACTGATCTGCCTGGCCCAAGTGGCACCATCTTTCTCTGGACCATTCCAGCTGCCTCCCCACTGGGCCTCTGCTTCTCCCCCCGCTGCCCTGACAGTGATCTCCACCTGCAGCCAGTCAGGTCCTGTTAGAAGGAAGTCAGATCCCGTCCTTCCTCTGCTCAGGACACCATCGTCCTGGCTCCCACCTCACCCAGGGGAAGAGGCGAAGTCCTCGCCATGGCAACAGATCCTGTAGGATCTGGAGCTCATCTCCCTCCCCCTTCCCCGCACTGCACTTGCTGTTTTCAATGGTGCCAGGCCCAGTCCTGCCTGGCCCTTGCGTTCCCCTCTGCCTGGGGCACTCATTGTCCAGATCTCCACCGGCTCACTCTTCACCACTTATCATCCATCATCCAATATACTATATGTTTTTCTTTTCTTCACTGTCCCCTAAAATGTAAGCTTCCTG